GTGCGAGTTTATGAGTTCATCACTGTGCTGCATTGCATTAGACATGCATAATTGATATGCAGGCATAGAGAAGTATTTTCCTCATGCCATCTGATAATGAAATTTCTAATATGTCATTAAAGTTTTTGAGAAAAATCACAAATTTCAGACTTACTCATATTTTCGGTGATTTTCGGCAAAAGATTTGAGTTTTACTGTTATACTTGAAAAGAAAATGTTTATTTTCCTGAATTATATACGACCTGAGCATTATATTATTGAGTTATTATTTGTGCTGCTTTAAATTGTATTGTTATGAGATGTTATTGGTTATTCGTGTGGACTCTGACCTTGGTACAAGCTTGTCACTACTTTCAATCTAAGGTTAGGTTTTTTACTTATTGAGGATATGGGGTCGGTTGTACTCATACTACACTTCTGCACCTTGTGCGTAGATTTTGGATGTTGATGTTGTTGTGTATAGCGGGAGATGATATTGAAGATGTATCTGCGATCCGGTTACAACTGCCTCTTATCCTAGGTAGGTTTGGAAATTTTTAATTTGTTTGCGTTTATTTGAACAGATGATGTATTTTATTTCATGCCAGTTTTGCAAATTCTAAATCTTAGAAGCTCATGATTTGTACTACCAGTCCTTAAGAAAAGTAGAAAGGTTCAGTTATTTATCATTTATTTTCCTCGATAAATCTCATTAAATTGGATTGTTGTTAATTGGCTTACCTAGCGGGTTGGGTTAGGTGCAATCACGATTAGTTGGATTTTGGGTCGTGACAGCTAGGTAAAAATTAAAAAATTGGCATCCTATAATAACATATAATAGGATTTGGAAATTTTTAGCCTTATATTAGGTTTGGCAAAGATAGTCCCAGACAATTGGCATTATATAGCGAAATCCTAAAAAAACTACTCTCTTATATATTCTCTCTAAAAAAAAAACTACTCGCTTATTTTGGCTTCCCTCCCCCTTTCTCTCGTTGTATTTCTTCTTCTATCTCTTCTCTTTCGCTCTCATAGTTTAGCAAAAATTCTTGCAAATTAGCAAAAAATTTCTGATTTCTAATTTTTCAATTTAATTTTTCAGGACACAAGTGTTATAAATTGTCCTGAAATTTAATAAAATAACCTGTTGAGACGTCTCATGAAACATACAGTAATAATTCATTTTGTATTTTGATTAATCTTTTTGTCATTCGAAAAAATATTTATTCAAAATATATGTAACTCAACTCCTGATCTATAGGTGAAAGTGATTTAATCAAAATCTCTAGTCTTGTTCTGGGCATTACAGCTTGCCTAGCTACAACAAAATAGCAAGGAACTGAACCCTAGAATCTGTAACAAATGTGTGTATAAAAGATAAATATCTTGAATTCATTATTTTAATGTAAAAATCAAGTGTGAGGTTGTTTTACCCTTAATTGCATGTTTAATATTTCCTAACTTTGTAAAGAAAAAACAAGTTTTTATATAAAGAATTTAACTCTCTCTATATATGATAAATTAATTCATGTATGACGAAGTTACTATCTAAGAATTAGATTTTACTTCCTTAATTGGTCCATCTATTTGAGAAAAAAAAATTATCATGCTTCCTTAAGTTATTCAATCCTTACTAAAAATTAATTATTATATTTATTTTTTTAATTTCCTTAATCATCCTGAAATTTATTCCATTAAACAAGACACATAAAATTAATTGCAGGCCTTCCTACAATTGCCTTTTAAATTACCCATATTATATTTATTTGATGGCACCAATATACCAAATGAAAATCATATAAGTGAAGGGTGTTTAACTGACTACCCTTCGCTTCTAAAGATTGTTCCAACATTAAATTTCTGCTAACTAACAATAAATAACATTTATTGATTAATATAAAAAAATAATCCCTATATAGAGCACATTTAATTAAAGCTCAACCTAATTGGAAAGAATTTCTCAACGGCTGCTTCTTTAACAATCGTCTGAGTAATTAACTGGCGTTTGCATTGAAAAACTAAGGTTGACTTTTATTTATTCTTTGGAAAAGATATCTGTGCTTGGATTAGATTTTCTAGTAAACGAATGGCAATATAGATCATAGTTGAACAGCCAAAAACAAGAAAAATATTTAAACCAATAAAAAATATTATTTACCACAAATAATATTTCTCAATGTTTTCAAAAAAATTTAAAAGTGGCTATAGAAAAAAAAATGGTAATTTCTTTTTGTTTACTTTTTTTTCTTTTGCTTAGGGGGAGGGTGAGGCCGAAACTAATGATTTATTTTAGAAAACAAAAAGAAGTGTCTTCAAAAAATCTTACAAAATTAATTAAATGAGCAAAGAGTAAGTTTACAATTAATTATGAATGCATGTTCACAGTAATATTACCATCATCACAAAAAAAAAAAAAAAAAAAAAAAAAAAAACATCTGGAAAAGCAACCCTTTGCAACTTGCAAGCAATAGTCCTCTCATCACCATTAATATGACAATGATAAAAAGTCTAAAAGATTTGTGAAATACATTTTGACAATGACATAGCATAATTATTTGGGGAAATCTATATAGTGTAGCCGCCTTTCAAAATAATACCCAGCGATTTTTTTTTTTTTGTATATTAATGTATAATATACATATAATTTATATATATACGTAATTTGTATAATTTTTTTTATATATTTGGTGCTATAATTATTTTTGGTCATTCGGCTACATATGCTAAAAGCCCTAATATTTATGACTCACCAAATAACAAAAAGTGAGTTTTACATAAAGGTTGCCGAACCTGACACAATGAATGAGTCTCCAAATTCACCTCAAAATAAGGAGAAAAAACAGCAAGATGAAAGAGTACTATTCTTTCACTTCAATTATCCCGTTGCTAAATTGCACAATATATTATATAGCAATGACAAAAGATTGATGAATCAAAAATTGAGTGATCTCAGAAGTTTAATTGATAGTAATGATAAGGATCGATCGAAAATCGAGTGATCTCAGAGGTCTAATTCAGAGTGATGATATAAGGAATGACCGATCGAACATTGAGTAACCTCAGAGGTTAATGATAAGGAATGACTGATCGAAAATTGAGTGACCTCAAAAGTTTTATTGAAAGTAAATATGATAAAGAATGACTGATCGAAATTGAATGATCTCAGAGGTATAGGAGTGTTTCTCCTTCTACAAATGCGACCCCCCAAAGGCAAACCAAGTCCTTTCTTGATTACACAATATCAAAATGTTGAAACAAATTCAACTTTCAGCCATGTGATATGTGGAGCTTTATTTCAAGTGTGATGCACGGATACACAAAATGAATTAAGGTAACTTTAATTTCCTTTCTTTTTTCTTCCCTTTTATTCCTTTTTGGTGGTTTTGTAGTAATATTATAATTGGGGAAGAGTCAAATCCTTGTACTATGAGAAAAGGTTTAAATATACCTCTCGTTATACTTTCGGTCCATATATATTCCTGCCGTAATACTATTAGTTTAAATATACCCCTCTTCCGTTAAGTTTGTCCAAGGTGGACATCCAATACTACATGACATTAATATTTGATGAGGTGGATGCCACATGGCATGCCACTTCAGCTCCCCTAACCCATTTTACTCCTAGCTTCTATTTTTTTTTCCATCATTAAACTTTCCTGCCCCTCGAAGAAAATTTTAGTGGTGGAAAAACAAATATAGGGGAGGGATAAAATGGGTTAGGGGCATTGAGGTGACATGCTACATGGCATCCACCTCATCAAATGTTAGTGCCACGTAGGATTGGATGTCCACCTTGGAAAAACTTAACAGAAGAGGAGGTATATTTGAACCAATAGTATTACGGCTGGGGTATATATGGACCAAAAGTATAACGAGGGATATATTTAAACTTTTTCTCATAGTTCAAGGATATATTTGGCCTTTTTCGTATTATAATTTCACCACAGTACTTATATTATAGTCAAAATATAAGCTTGATGAACTATTTGCTTCTTTTTTCCTTTGTTTTATTTGTGTGGGACTGAGGGTGATGAAGGGCTGGAAATATCTTTACTCAGCAATTTTAAACTAGCAAATGTGACACACTCAATGCATGTGATTATGTTATGAAAAGTTTGTTATTTCTATTTTTATACATAAAAGTGGTAATAGTTTATGGGTATATCGACTAATTTATGAGGTACATACAATTTTTCACTAATTAATATCAGTATCTAACTAGAAGTTTCGGGTTAAAATTTTGTATATAAAGCTATTTTTAATAGGAAAAATTATTTCCTAGATGAAATTTAGCAACTCGAACTAAATTAATCAAACTCTAAATGAATATCTAACACCAGAAAAAAAAAATATTATTTGTGGAACACTCAAAATCTCTGATGAAGCTACAAGTATCCCACCTAAATCCCATGCATTAAATTAGATGAAGCCACGTAATACCATGTTAGCATCATCATTATCACAAGTCCTACAAGCAATAAATTAACCAAATATTTTATATAAAAATACTACTTTGGGACCCATCACCAATAACTACCACATGCAACATTTTTCAAGTAATACAATTTTTCGATCAATTATTATATATACATTATTGTATAAACTTTTCCAATCCTATATATGGACCACGTTTTCCGTATCAACATATCCTTCTAGCTATGATAGGTAATACTTGTCCTTTTCCCTCTTCCACTTTCATCATTTTTTATAATATTTATAAAAATAATTTTTATAATTTCAGTTTTTATGAACAATTACATGTAGTTGAAAAACTTAATAATATAAATTTTTTAAATATTATTAACGTATTGAAGTTAAACTCATTTTCAATTTGTTCATATGATTTCTTTCCATTTTTGGCACTGTTTAGTTGATCCAAGAAACTTCCATGTGCCAAACTTTCAGTTAGTTAAAATATGAAGGACCTAAACGAAAAAAGGAAAAGAAGAGTAACAACTTTCTTATCTTCAAACATCACTTCAATTATTTTTTGTCATCATCTAGAGGCTATTTAATTAAAACAAATGTTTACAGATTGGCCATTTTATATGTCTAAGTCAAAGGAAGTGGTAGAGGGAACAATAATACACAGATGAGAAACCAACCAGAAACAAATTATATTGAGAAAATATTCTTTTTGTATATAACAAAAGGAACCAAATTACTCTGTTCTAAATTTCAAAGCAGTTAGCATTCATCGCTACAATTCGGCAATAAAAAGGTGAATCTCCTTTTTCTTTTCGTCACATGTGTTTTTATAAACTTTATAATTTTTTATTTAGTAAAGTGAAGCTAAACAAGTACAAATATATGATGAAAAAGCATCACTTTCTGAGAAAGATAAGAAAAATACTCCTTCCATCTTAATTTATGTGATCGTGTTTTATTGAATATGAAATTTAAGAAAAAAAGAAAGATTTTTTTTTTTGAAATTTGTGGTCTAAATAATACATACATATTTGTGTGGTATTAAATTATCTCATTAAGGTACAATAAATATTTTACGGCTAAACAACAACATATTCAGTATGGTCCCACGAGTGACATGTAGGGAGTATAGTGTGTATGCAGATTTTATTATTATCTTGTGAAGGTAGAGAAACTGTTTCCGATAAACTCTCGACTCCGATAAACTCTCGACTCAAGAAAAACAGGTAAGGATGAAATTTTTTTGGGACCGACTAAAAATGAAAAGAGTAGCATATCAAATGAGACAGAGGAAGTAGAAAAAAAAAGAAGGAAATAATGCTTTTCCAAGAAAAAGGTTTGATTATTCTTGATTGTTAATGATTTTCCCATTTGAAAGTTAGAATTCAGGCCATAAATATTAAACACATCAAGTGAAGAGGAGAGCACAGAATTGCTGTTCTTTGCTCAACCGAAATTGAAGATGGGAGGAGGGCCAATTGCTCCAAGAGGTGTAACAAAAGAAAGAGCTGAAGAATATAAAGGAAGAGTCACTCCTTATGTAATCATAGCATGTATTGTTGCTGCTATTGGTGGATCACTCTTTGGATATGACATTGGAATTTCAGGTGATTCTATTTTCATAAAGTTGTTAAAACAGTGCTTTTCTTGTAGCTTGTGATACTTCTCTCTCATTGATGACTAAATGAATATTCTAACAAAAGAGCTAAAAAGAACTTTATTTTTCCTTTTTGCTGTGAGGAAGAGGGGAATCTAGAATTGGAGGAAGGATGAAGGAATTAATTACCCATATGTCGTTTGGATTTTTCAAAATTGCCATTATGTCCGAGTCAAATTCTCTAAAAATTGCATTTTTATTGGATCCAACACGAATGTTGTGACATTTTTGGAGCATCTGATACTCGTAGTTATGACAACACCAGTTAGTCTCTGAAACTTCTTGAACTTCCAAGATTTTTTTGGGGTGGGGTGGGGGGAGGGGGAAAAGAGACTGAAAAGTAGCATAAAGTAACTAAAGAGAACAAAAATAATAAGAAAGTGATCTTTCCTTTCAAAAATTTCTTCTAAGGTAAAGGGTAGAAGAGTCTCTGGTTGTTATTATGTTTGTGGATTATCAATTTAGAGTAAAAAAAACTCATTAGTAATTACTATTGGAAGGGTAGCTTTGACGTAACTAGTAAAGTTGTTACCATGTAACCAGGAGGTCACAGGTTCGAGTCATGGAAACATCCTCTTGCAGAAATACAGGGTAAGACTGCGTACAATAGACCCTTGTGGTCTGACCCTTCCCCGGATTACGCGCATAGCAACAGCTTAGTGCATCGGGCTGCCCTTTAGTCATTATTGTTGAACTATACGACCATCTTTTCTAAAAGCTTTGAGATTCAAACTCGCGACCTTTGCTCCTCTAATATCATGTTGAATTATGTGATCATCTAATTAAAAGCTTAATCTGTTAGATAGAGCATACTTTTATTTACTTTATTACGTCTTCAACGACTATTCTATATTCCTAGCTACTTTCCTCACTAATTACTACGCGCAAGATATACAGGGGGAGTGACATCAATGGATGAATTTCTTCGACGATTCTTCTACTCAGTGTACCAGAAGAAGAGACATGTGCACGAAAACAACTACTGCAAATACAATAACCAAGTTCTAGCTGCATTTACCTCGTCTTTGTACTTAGCTGGTTTAGTTGCATCTCTAGTAGCATCTCCTATCACAAGAAACCATGGACGTCGCGCAAGTATAATATGTGGTGGCATTAGTTTTTTCGTCGGAGCAATTCTGAATGCCTCTGCTATCAACCTCGCCATGCTTCTTTTGGGACGAATTATGCTTGGCGTTGGCATTGGCTTTGGTAACCAGGTGATTCCCCTTGAATTTATTCTGTCGCATGCTAAAGAATCTAATATTCCGTAGGGAAAATGATAATCCTATTCTGTTATTTGCACGCAAAAATAACTATATCTCAATCCTAAGCAAGTTCAGGACGGCTATATGAATCCCCAGTGATCACGTCGGCTATATTGTGCTATTTGTACATAATCCAAAAAATAGATTTTACTTATGTACACTCACAGTACAATTCACTATAAAAAATGATAGTACTTTTTTTCCAAAGATTTTCTCGAGTCACATGTTTTCTTCTCTTAAGACCAAAGAGAAATGAACAAATGTGAAATTGAAAAGAAAAAGAATCAAATTGCACCATCTCTGTAACAGGTAAATGCATCTTTGTCTCTCGACGAATTTTTACATTATCAGTGTATTTTAATCTGTAATTGCAGGTAAGATGCCCTATTTTACAACATACTAACGGACAGTTACTATACATCGAATTTCTTCTAGGAAAGATGTCCAGAATTCTGCACTAGTTAATTTAACTTATATACATTTAATTTGGTTTATTATGACATGTTCCCTATACTTAACCACTAAAATTATCTGATTAGTTTACACTATCTGTATATAGAAGTTAAAACGTTGGATCATTTTGTGTTAAATTCAAGAATGGGAATCATTTGAGATGACTGTTTTAACTCTGTGTCACTGTTTGAAGGCAGTTCCATTATATTTATCAGAGATGGCACCAGCACATTTAAGAGGATGCTTAAACATGATGTTTCAATTAGCAACAACACTTGGAATTTTCACCGCGAACATGATCAACTACGGAACGAGTAAACTCCATCCATGGGGATGGAGACTTTCATTAGGCCTAGCTGCAGCACCGGCGTTTTTTATGACAGTCGGAGGCCTACTACTTCCAGAAACACCGAATAGCTTAATCGAACAAGGAAATAAAATAAAAGGACGACAAGTTTTAGAGAAGATAAGAGGAACTGAGAATGTTGATGCAGAATTTGAAGATATGGTTGATGCAAGTGAATTGGCGCGATCGATTAAGCATCCGTTTAGAAATATTCTGAAAAGGAGAAACAGGCCACAGTTAATTATGGCTATTTTGATGCCAACTTTTCAGATACTTACAGGGATTAATATTATACTCTTTTATGCTCCTGTGTTGTTTCAGAGTATGGGGTTTAAAAGAACAGCTTCTCTTTATTCCTCAGCTTTAACTGGTGCAGTTCTTGCTTCATCTACATTAGTATCTATGGCCAGAGTCGATAGATGGGGTCGACGAATTCTGCTTATTAGTGGTGGAATCCAAATGATCACCTGCCAGGTAAAGATATTCTAACTACTCGATCCACGTTTCGATATCCTAAATGACAGTCAGTGTAAAACTAGTCAATTTACGACGAATCCTCCCAGTACAAAACTTTTATGTCCTCAATAACTAGGAAATGAGTTGATAATGCAAGAAAAAAGAATTTAGTATGCAAATTTATATTGCTGACAAAGGATTCTTACCTAAGCATATCCAAAAAATACAAAACACTAATCTTACATAATCTTAGTGTAAAGCAGTAAATCAGTAAAGGAAGATTCAACCACATTTGGTAAAGAACTGCATATTGAATATATAACAAGCAAACTTTCTTCCATATCAAAAGAGTTTTTAAACTCAGTGTATTTTAACCTATCGTGACACGTAACCTGTCTTATCGTGACATGTAACCTGCCTTATTTTTTTGAACAATTACTTGTAGTTATTTGTTTGAAGGGGAGTCTTGGCATAACTGGTAAAGTTACTGCCATGTGATGTCACGAGTTCGAGCCGTGGAAACACCCTCTTGCAGAAATGCAAGGTAAGGTTGCCTATAATAGACCCTTAAGGTCTGGCTCTTCCTCAGACCCCCCGCATAGCGGGAGCTTAGTGCACCCTGCTACACTGTAGTATATTTTAACTAGTCGTAGCATGTAAAATGTCTTATTTTTCGCGTTACTACTCTCACTTTCTATGAACAATTACTTACAGGTTATTGTTGCCATAATCTTGGGACTCAAATTTGGTAGTGACAAGGAGCTAACAAGAGGTTACTCAATTATAGTAGTGATTTTTATCTGCCTATTTGTAGCTGCTTTTGGATGGTCATGGGGTCCACTTGGATGGACAGTGCCAAGTGAAATTTTCCCTTTGGAAACAAGATCTGCAGGCCAAAGCATAACAGTGACTGTGAATTTATTCTTCACATTTGCTATAGCACAAACTTTCCTCTCACTTTTGTGTGTTATGAGGTTTGGAATTTTCCTATTTTTTTCTGGTTGGATTGTTGTTATGACAATCTTCATCTATCTCTTCTTGCCTGAAACGAAAGGAGTTCCGATTGAAGAGATGATGCGACTTTGGGAAAAGCATTGGTTTTGGAAGAAGATTGTATTGGATGATCAACAAGCTAACAACATCAGTGGTCGAGAGAGCGCTATATAATTGAACCAGAAGTCGATAGCAGAACTATGGCTTTCAAGAAAAGCGCTCGTAGCCATAGGATACAGTCATGAGCAGAGGTGGAGCCAAGATTTAAAGTTTGTGAATTCTTAACTTGTCATGGAACCTATAGCTCGTCTTGGTTATTGGGTTGGCAATTAAATATTTATACATTAGTCATGAGAACGTGGATTTAACTGATGCAATCAGTCATTCTTACTAACAGAACATTTTTTAACAATGTGAAATGTATGTTTAACACTGTTTGTACTTGTTTTTCATCACATATGTGAGGTTTGACCCCCCAAAGCACTGGATTCTGCCGAACTCGTGAACCTACTGTTGGATCCGCCACTAAGATTGGCTACCTCCAAGATTCTTTCAAGAGAATCTTTTAGTATTTTACAAAAAGCTATGGTTATTGACAGAGATAGTATCATAACTCTAGAAATTGGAAATAATAGATCAATGAGCTTACTTTTCAGATACAGATAATAGTATTATATTTAGCCGCGTCAGAAACAAGAACTTGTAGTAGCTGAGCAGTAGATGATTTAAGAGTTTGTTGTTGCTGACGATCAAGTAAATCACAAGAAAGTCCATATCATCCTACCTTCGAGAAATATGTTGATTCAGTCCTGAATCAAGAAAATTAAATTAGAGATAAGAAAAAGGGGGCGGGGGAGGAGGAGGGGGGGGGGTTCTTTAGCTCCAACTGGTGTAGCCAAGGAGAGGGCAGAACCTATATTGGTCGTTTTGACAAACTGAAATTATTTCATAATATTCGTCGTTTGAGAAAAATAAGAAGTCATTTATTTCTTTTCCATATATACCTTAATTAAGTAAAATGATAAAAGAAACAGATAAAGGGTAGTTTAAACAAGTACTCCTGTGATAAATAATACTGAATGCGTGGCTTTCTTAATTAGATAATTTGCACACAAAGAAGTATCAAACAAAATATATCTTATGACAAAAGAAGCATATGGTTGTAGAAAATTGTAAGATTCAGTCTAAGTTGGATAGAGTTATGCCACTCTATAATTACCTTATAATTATATATATATGATTATAGAAATTATTTTTAATCCGTCAATACATAAAACATAAACTCATCTGTAAAAGTATTACTCTATAATTACATTATAATGACATGATTGTAGAACTCATTACATTATAAATTGCATTTCATATGTTGCATTAGCTGAGTGCGACGTATGAATCACATTATAATGGAATGCGCCTTATATATAACATTAGCTGAATGCGATTTATAAGTTAGCCGAATGCAACTTATACATCGCATTCTCTGATTACGATTTATATATTCAAAGGCAAAATCACCATTTATGTTTAACATAGAGAATTAACAGTCCACTAACTAATCAAAACAGGCGCACATGCAGTCCAAATGCAATTTATATGTCACTGATTTAATCAATTATTATTTGATTAACACTTATTTTATCTGAATCAATCGAAAAGTGAGTGAATGAAGAATAAAGACAAAACTAAAAGCGAACTATGATTCTTATTTCTATTTTTTAGTTTTTTGGTTTTTTGTTATGCTTATCGATTTATATTAGACAAGGTCTAAGTTTCTCAACTTTACAATTGTTTATAGGAACAAAGCTTGATTTACACCGCAATTATGTCAATTCAACAATCTTTACAAATAGAGATTTTTTATGACTTTCATAAACTTAAAAAAAAAAAAAAAAAGATTAATTAGTTCAAATTATTCTGTGATGTTTATGTATTAACAGCAAACATGATCAGCTATGGAACAAGTAAACTACATGTTATATATCTGTATTGCTGAAAATAAATTAAATAATAATCTTTCTGAAAACAAAGAACAGAAAGCTAATAGAAATTAAATTTCGAAAATAGTAAACTTCTTCAAAATAAATTCTGAAAACGTTGTAGGAACAAATCGAGCCCACTGAATACACAGTGTGTCCTTAAGGAAATTATTCCCCTCAAGTACCCGAGGTTCTGGAATATATCCTCCCAAGATAGAACGATTTAACTCACCAGTGTATCGGTACCTAAAACTCTGGTGATCGACGAACCACTCGATGGTCGTAAAACACACTGGAAGGTGTATTTATAACCAATTTCGGTGTTGTTTCTGAAAAGGTTTGTAACCTTTCAGAACAGCCATAGCTGTTGGAACAGGTGTGACACTGTTTCAGAACAGCCATGGCTGTTGAAAATATTGCGGGAAAATTTAAAACGGATTTAAAATAATCCGGAAAAGAAAAACGGGTCGGGCCGGACCGGGTCGCGGGTCATGGCTTATTCCGGATTGAATTATCTTTAATTATTTAATTAATTAATTAAATATTTAAAAAAAATTTTGTCCAAAAAGATTAATCAATCAATCTTTGAAAAAGCCAAAGCCGAAGCTGAGCGAGCGACGATGACGGCGCGAGACTTGCCTTCTTCTTAGCTCTCTAAGAGCTAAAAGATGAGCTTCTCTTTATATACACAAAGATTTTCTTTCCTTCTACCAATGAGGGACAAAGTGCATGAGTGAAATGAACTCATTCAAAATTTCACTTCCCTCCATTTCTTTTCCCACCATTTTCCATTCACACCTCTTTTGTTATTATTTATTAATAACAAACCCAACACTACATCCATGGAATTTAGCACGGGTTAACATCCAAGATTTGAAGTTTATGAATTTTGAACTTGTCATGGAATCCATAGTTCGTCTTAGTTACTGGGTTGATGCATTAGTCATGAGAATGTGGATTTAACTGACGCACTCAATCATTCTCGTTATGATTTAGCTCTGAATTTTTAACGACTCTCTTTCTTGAACAAGGGAAAAAGACTCCTGAAAGGAATAAATCTATTTCATATGCCTTATCGGCTTATCTTTTTCTCTAAGGAAAAGTTTTGCACCTCTATAAATTGACATTTTTCTTCTCACAACAAGAATAATAGCCTCCACAATGTAGTTCTTACGAGAATCATGTTTATGGGAGATTATTCTTGCAAAAATTTCATTCTCTTTTTATATCAGTGATAGATCATATGTAGGTCGATTGACCAAATCATAATAAAGTATTGTGCCTAGTTTAGTATATTTTCTTTTATACTCTAATTTATCGTCCATCAAGCTTTGCATTGTTAGCTTCCGCATGCACCATGTTATTTCAATCCCAACAATTCTTGCTATTTGTACTTGTTTTTCCTTGCAATACAAGGCAAAAATTGCTCTTTTAAAAGATGGGAATGATTATACTTGCCAAAAGGTCTTGAGATAATTGCTCTCAAATTTCTTTAAGCAAATAAGATATTAATAGTAGGGGATGGACATGACTGCAAAATATACTATAGTTAAGGAAACAATAAAATAACTCAAATGAGTTTCATTAAGGATTGAAAAATTTAAGAAGCATATATATATAT